CAATGCTTCACTCTGTGCCTGTTCGAAAATGTCTTCTCTTCTGCATAACGGTTTCTTTTCTCCTTGTCTATGGTTACATGGTAGCTCAGGAGGGGCCTCTGAAGGCCCCGTCAATCGACCGCCCCCCCCCCTGCTTCAGGGAAAGCTTGAATTTGGATAAAATAGCCCTCATAATCTTTATACCACCACCCCCCCCAACGCATCCTCGTCTTGCTTGGTGTTATACCAAGCCCTAGGCTCTCTCCCCAGCTGTTCATGTGTCTGCTTACTACTTTATTCATTCCTCAGCCCTAGCAGGAGAGAGTCGTTCCGCACACACACACACACAAAAATAATATCATGGCTATTGCTCAGTGTGCAGTCGTTCCAGCTGTTATTATCCCTCTGCATGAAATAATGGCAGCTGGAACAGCATTGAAATGAGCCACTGCAGACATGTTGCCGGGGCTCCTGCCTATGTCTGCCTCCCATTATGTGGGCGATACCCCCCTTCTGCTGCTGGGAAAGATGGGCAATTCTTCATCCTGGACCCCTTCCTTTCTCTGCAGAGTCCTGCGCTGGCTTGTTTAGGATTTCGGGAGGGAGGGGGGCGATTTTTAAAGCCCGTCTAATTCGGTCTCGACTTCTGCGGCTAAAATCACTTTGCCTTGCGGTTCTGCATTACTCCCCCGTCTGCTCTAACGACGAGTTATTGGTTTCATTCTTCCTGTTTGATTATTAATCCAGTATGCTTGTTTTCTCCTAAGGGGGAGGGGTCTAAGGATTCCAATTTGCAGTATATGGGAAAAACCCGATGCCAGAATTCTCCTGCCTGGTTGCTTTAAAAAAAAATGGGCAGGGGGTCAGGGGAGAGGGTTACTGTAGATTTAAGAAACTCGCTGTTCCTTAACTAATTAATATTATGCTCCTGAGGGGTAGCTATGGGGTTCTGACCATACGGCACAGTGCCACCCAGTGGCCAGCTGGTGTAATTACATCTTCCAGAAATCCACACTAGTGCCGGGTGTGAATATAGCACTTCCGTTCTTTATTCTCATTTGGTATGTATTCATCTGTTTTGGTTTTGTGTGTCTGAGATGTTTTCATTAGCTCTTTAATTAAACTGGTGGTACTGGGGTTTGAACAAGATCGATAAAATATTTTGCCCAGTACAAAGAGGAAGAACATAAGAACAGGGCACAGCAGCTAGAGTATCAGCACTGACTGAATGTAACAAAACTGAGAGTCACCCAAATACTGGATGTTTTGCTCATTTCTCCTGTGGAAGCATTGTTTTGTTACAGGTTTGTTAAGATACGTTTTTCACTCCCTCTCTCCATTCTGTTGGCTAGGTAGACTTACTGCTTTGTCAGACATGGGCAGCATTGAACATTTTCCTCTGAAATTTGCCCACGGCGTGACCAGTTATCTTATGCCGATTTTTTTTTGCTCTGCACATCCCACTGGAGAGGGAGTGCTGAACTCCTGGCCGGTCCCGAGCCCGTTCCCACTGCAGCAAGAGTGGGGATCCGCAAAAAGGGAGGGAGGAAACTCTCCCAGTATTTTCCAACTGACTCGCCAGAGCCGAGCCCTGATTGGGCAGACAGTGCAGAGGGGTGCAACCCTTCCCCTTCTGGGAGAAAGGGCCCGGATACACATCACTGTGCTTCTCAGGACGTGACCCCAGGACAGGAGTCTGGGCAGCTCTTTCCACCCCACGGTCCTGTGCTCCTGTGTGAAGGGCATAGATCTGAGTGTCTCATGCAGGCTTTTCTTGAAGGACATCAGCTAAAACATCATGGCCGGGTGGCTAACGTATACCCTCACTGGCCAAAATATTAGGAACCCCCTTCCCCTGCGCGCGCACACTCGCTCGGTGTGTAGCTATGGGGTTCTGACCATACAGCACAGTGCCACCCGGTGGCCAGTTGGAGTAACGACACTTTACAGAAGTCTGCCATTGTTACTGGGCATGAACGAAATTCATTATTCATTTAGCATGTACAGTATCAATTTGCTTCTCTTTCCGTGTATGAGTCATGTCCAGGGACACACCACGGACTGACCCAAACTCTGGTCTACAGTTGTAGCCCACCGTATGGACTGACCACCTAACAGGACAGACGGACCGTGCGGCCTCCTCGTACCCGAGACCTCGCCCGTCCTGTGTTCTCAGGCGGGACCTGAGCAGGGTCCTGCCGGAAGGATTTAGGAGGGTGGTTTGACAACCAGAGTGATTCTGGGTTTCGGCCACGGAGCGTCAGCGGGCTGTCAGAACGCCCTGGGCAAAGGCAGCCCGTCATTTGCGTTCGCTGGGATCGGAGTTGTCATCTGGCGACGAGGCAGGAGCAGCTTGAGTCGACAAGACAGGCAACCGGAAACTCCATGCAAATGAAACTCGGCAGTGCTCTCCGTTTGTGTAAAAAGAGGCAGGGGGGTGTCCGAAATGTTCTTTTAACTGGGTTCCAGTTCTCTGACCGTTTTCGCTTGAAAACGTTGCTCACCCTGGACTGGCTGTGCGACCTATTTTTTCCCCCTCATTGTGGTTTCAGGCGGAAGAAAATGAAAATCTGATCTTTTTTTTCCCCTCTTTCTTTCTTTCAGAATTAGGTCCAGCAGTGGTCTTGGAGCCCAGATCTTCAAGGCAAAGTGATTTTAGCCCTCCATTGACGCAACTACAAATTTCTTGAGTTGTGTGTCAGTTTTGAAGGGGAGACAAGACAAGGCTGTTGTTTTAATTGTGAAATTACCATGTAAACATAGATTAACAGGTTTCTGACTGTGGGTTGCATCAAAGGCTACCAATGCGAACACTGTATGTTTCTTAACGAACGCTTTTAAATATGCAGCTTTTTTTTCCCCTTTAAATTCTGTACTGTACAAAAAAAAATGACTTTTTCAGCAACCTAATTTTAACTGGTTAATATGGAAAGTTTGTTGTGTGTCTTATTAGTGTTCAAACGAAGCGTTCTGCCATTTTTGAGCATCTGTCTTTTTTCTGGCTTCTTTACGAACCCCAGCCTTGTTTCTTCTACAAGATCACACGCCGGGAATTGAAAGATGATTCAGAAAAAAAGGCTAAACTGACCGAGTATTCTGATCGACCCCTTTAGGGAAAACAAACGATTGGCTATTCTCATTGCAAAACGGCTCACCGATTTAACCCCGCCCCCCTCCCCTTGTCACTTCCTGCCACGCCCACTTCCTGGATTAGCCCATCAGAACGACTACTTATACCGCGCGGGTCGGCTTGACCTCCACCGCCACGCCCACCCCACCGTAAGCCCCACCCACACACTCCCCTCTCTACGCCTCCTCCCGCCCCCCCTGTGGAAATTGATTTTGCTAACTCTTGTGTCTTTTTACTAACAAAAAGCTTCCGAATTTTCGAGTTTGGTTTATTTTTCTTTGGTTTTTTTTTTTGTTTTCCTTTAAAACAACTAACATTGTCTCATCAAGGAATGTGACCCATCTGTTGCTTTTCTACCCTCCCCAATTAACTGACGTAACTTACTAACCGAACAACAACAACAAAACAAGAAATAAAATGAACGATCTTGGTTTGGTTTTTCAATATTTTTTTCGGGGGGTTTTTAAAAAAATTTAGTCTTTTTATTATTTTGGATTTTTTTTGGTCCTATTCGGAACAAAACAAACATAGGTGTGATTGGTCGGTGTCCTTTTGACTCCCAGATAACCTGTTTTTGCAGAAAGCGCCAGATTTCACACTTTTTATCCGGCTGAGGTGTCCTTTATTGAGTTCACGGTTTGTCATTCTTTTTTTTTTCCTTTCTCCTTCCCCTGTTTTCTCCTGAAGCACGCAGGCATCGGACACGCTATGGTAAACAAACTGCATTATATGGTAGATATCATTCTAATTGTCTTATAGTTTGGTTTGCCCTGGGTTTTTTTTTTCCTTTTTAATTTCTTTTACGTATCTCTTCCTACAAATTTCTTTTGCTTCTCTTCTGTAAAAAAAAAAAAAGATCGAAACGACTTGCCATCCGTTTCACGACAGCCAAGCGGCGGTGTTTGGTTTGACGGTATTTCAATTGATTTCTGCTTTTTTTTTAAATTTCACGTTTTGTTTTGTTGTGTTGTGTTGGTTTCTTTCGCTTTTACTTCATTTCTGTCCATCAGAGACCCCCCTCCCTTCCCTCCTGAAAGCGATTTGAATAAAAACGCATTAAAAAGATCGGAGATCCCCCTCCTCCACTGATTTCAAAACCGCACTAAAAAAAAAAAGGCCTATAAAAACAACATTTTAAGAAAACATATGTTTTTCCCCCCCCCGCGTTGGCCTGCTTTCCCTTCTCCGTGTTTTAATTCTGAAAACGTTTCCCTCTGCGGTCTTCTGAAACGCAGAATGAATTGGTGTGAAAGTCGGCAAACCAGCCCTTCAAAAAAAAAAATCCAAAACGATTTTGAGTTTTTTTTTTGCTTTCAGTTGTCTCCCCTGCTCTGTTTTTTTTTTTCCCTCCTCCCTCCGCTAATACACCCTGGAAAGCGCCCCCCCCACCCCGCCGCCTTCAGTGTCTTCCTGTTTTTCTCCTCTCGTTTTCCGCGGCTGGTTGCGCCAGTGGCAGGCGGGGGCGAGCGGGCGCGGGCGAGCTAGCGGGGACGAGCGGGCGAGCGGGGGCGAGCGGGCGCGGGCGAGCTAGCGGGGACGAGCGGGCGCGCACACGCGAAGTCTCTCCAGCCCCGGGTTTCGGTCAGGCGGAGCGCGAATGGGGGCCCGACTCCGTTCGTGCCCCTCTGTCAGGAGCGCCGCAGCCCCTCTGTAGCTG